CTGCATGCTAGACACTGAAAGCCCTAAGCCGTAAAGCCGAACTCCAAGGCCCTCCATAAGGCTAACCCATAATAATCCCAGTTTCCATTTCATTTTCCATTTTCTTTTCCATTTGATTCTCCATTGTAGTAGTTTCCATTTCATTTTCCATTTTCTTTTCCATTTGATTCTCCATTATAATAGTTTCCATTTCATTTTCCATTTTCTTTTCTATTTGATTCTCCATTATGGTAGTTTACATTTCATTTTCCATTTTCTTTTCCATTTGATTCTCCATTATAAGTAGTTTCCATTTCATTTTCCATTTTCTTTTCCATTTGATTCTCCATTATAGTAGTTTCCATTTTATTTTCCATTATCCCCAAGGTCCCCGCCTCGCAATGGATTGCTTTGTTCCAGAGCGTTGCATTCATCGTCCAGCACCAAGAGGATTGGAGCATGTGATCTGAACCTGAAGCAGAACGGCCAAGCCATAGTCATCTCTGGCATGCCTGGACTGCAAGCTCATCAGATCCGAGACACCTTTCCAGCTGTTGTAGCTGCCAGACCTGGATTGAACTTGGCTACGCTAGGTCCGGGGATCAACGTCATGAGTTTTGGGGTCCTTTAACGTCTTCTCTGCAGTCAAGCTACCACGTCTTATCAAAGAAAAAAAGCACTTTGGGATGCAATCCCAGAAGCCACGCAGCGGCTGTGGCCCTCCGGAGCTTCGGCCATCGAACAGGGGCCAGCCCTGTGCTTGTTCCGCAAGTCGCATGGAAAGGCAAGGCCGCTAATGAAGGCAACTGCTTTCATTCTGGGTCCTTATAGCCATATGCGTCTAGTGTTTGCCAGGAACCCGCCATCGCTGACTCTGACATGTCAGCAAACTCCGGCCTGGCCATGAAGAAATCGACGCATTCCTTAATTACGTGCCATGTCTTGCAGGTGAACTCTACCATGTGAAGCTTGGACCTGTTCTGAGCAAGGCAGGGTTTGCTAGGCGGTCAGCATAGTATCACGTGCTGTGCGTGGTGCCGATGGCAAAGCAAATGCCAACAAGTCACTTTGACGGTTTTGACAGCTCTGCTCTTCTGATCCAGACGCACGTGCAGCACGTTGCTCGAAAACAGCCTGCAAGCTGCTTCCTCTTCTCACAAACAGGTCTCCACTGGACTCTCCATCCCTGTTGGGTGGTGCGTCGACGCCTGCCAGGACTTGCCGCGAAGCGCGCCAATTCCACACTGAGGGCGGTCTTCCCGATGCCCTGATCAACGGCTGCACGTTGGTGCTCAAACGATCACGTACGAGGAGTCTGCGGAGGAGAGGTATTGAGGATCTTAGGGTGTCGGCTTTAGGGGGCTGCCTTGTTCTGGGTGAGCCAGGACGGCTCCCGTGACCAATACGTGCCAGTTCCTACAGACAACTTATTGCACGGAAGGTCTAGGAACTCCTACCACGCCCTGGCTATGAGACGATTTGCTCGACCCCATGGAAGCTGGCAAGGATCCGGATTGCCTCCGGACCATGCAGTGCACATGCACGACGGTTGCGAAGAAGCATCAGAACCTGTCCGCACGCGGGGACAGACTGCTACTTGAGTTTTGCTAGGGCACCAGTGGCCCCACAACTTCATGCAGCCTTCTCTTTCATTTCTTGTCTGTTTGCTACTTGCCTTCGCACCAGGACTACTTTTCGCTGTTATGCAACTCCAGGCTGTCAATTTCTTGGCTCTTAGGCCTGCTGCATGACTGGGGGTCGAAAGAAGTCCTCCACTTGCGGCGGGAGGAATGTCAGCTTGTCCTGCAAATTAAATACGAATTTCCTCACAACTAGCTGCTCATGTCTCATGCAGCTCTGACGGAATCTGAATGCCGGAACTTCATCCGTAGCAGCTTTGTAAAACTGAAATAGGGTAGCTCAACTTGAGGTCTGATGCAGCAAGGGTTTCCAGTTCAGAGATGTGAACATATCCAGAATCCAGACCATGTGCACAAGCCACACAGCCACCTAAATACTCGGCTCCCTTACGGTAAGAGATTCATGACAAATCCAACAAGCAATGCAGGCAGCTTCAATAGTCACAATAGAACGGCAAGAAAGAGCAGTAGCAAGCAGCAGCAAACGACGACAGCAACAAGACCTGAGTGCCAGCACCTACCTCACTGGGCGGGCTTTCAGTCCTGGAAGCTGCACGCCTCCTGGCAGATGAGTCATCATGAAAGGCAGGCAAGGGTCTGATTAATCTGTCCCTGCTGCACCGTGAATAGCACGCCTCACTTTGAACTCTGGCCTGGAAGCCCTCGATGTCTGTGTCGCGCTGGCTAAGGACAGAAGAAGGCCTCAAGCCAGAAGCATCGCCAGGACTTGTCTGATTGTGGCTTACAGCTAGACTTGCCTTCAATCCCTCAACTCTGTGTGGGGTGTAGAATTTACTTACAGGCTGAACCTTCAAACTGGCGCCGCCAGCCCTGCCTGTCTGCATACTCCATGAGCTGCCATGATCCATCACCACCCGCGAAGGCGCTAGGACAGTCGCCACCTCGAATAGCTCATGCGAAGTTAGAGTGTCAATGAAGCCAAGGGAACAGAATTTATCCTCCAAACATGACTGAGAGTTAGTTCTCCGGATCCCCTACTGTTTTTAGGTGCGCAGGCATGTGAAAGCCAACCCGATGCTGCCAGCTCTTGGGCACCTTCTAGTCTCTCATGGTTTGTGAGCAAGAGGAACGCGTTCGACTGATCGGCCACCTGATGGCAGCATGTGGGCAGTTTGTTTGTGCGAGTGTCAGAGGGTCCCATGACCTGACCGCTGACCAGCCCAGCCTCCGGGTGCGAGCTAGCCAGCAGAGCCTCTTTCGTGTGCTCAAAAGCTGATGCTATCGACCTGGGCACTGGCAAAGCTAGGCGGTTGCGGTGCGTTTCCGATGCCATTCACCAGCTTGAAAAAACTCAAATCTTCTATGCAACAAGCGGATGCAAGGCCTGCCTGCGCTGCCCACATGGGATCTTAACAGCAGCTCAGGGGCTTCCCCACGAAGAGGGCACCGTAGAAGCGTTCCGTAAAGGCCCGTGCTGTAGCATCGAGGACTGTCCTGTGACCAGTTTGACTGACAGTCTTTGAGTTGCATATCCGTGATGGCACGCGACGAGATCAAAATCTATCTGGATGGCTCTCATCGCACAGTCAAAACTAAGGCGACACATCCGGCCTATTTGTTGCAATGACGTGCTGGCATCCGCAGTCGATGAAAACCTTAGATGAGGGTCGAAAACCAACGAACCAACCACAACATCAAGAACTGATAGCCGTGGCATGCCGTGGCAGTCTGGTTAGGCCTTGGCGCCAAGCAGCCTGCGCAAGCTTCTTGGAGCTGCAGGAGCTGAGAAATACCAAGGACACGCCACGAAGTCCGCGACCCCCAACATTCAAGAGTCTTCTTAGCTTCTCCTCGGTGAACGCACCGCCAAAGCAACTAGCTCGTATCATGCAAGCCATTAGCGGAACTTTGAGTTTCCGTAGAGGGGCCACCATTGCAGGCTCCAACGTGGCATGCATAGCCCTTCTTATGTAGGGTCCCTCAGAGGTTTCCGGGAACCCTCCAATTCCCCATTGGCAAAGCCGGGCTGCATGGCTGCAGCTGTGGACTTCTCCTGTGCCCTTGGTGCTCTCCAGAATGAGACCACCAGCCTGGCGTAGCTCGAGGGAGCATGCAGGCGAAGGCACTCAAGAAGAAACGGTCTATGCAATCCCGGTTTCCACACAATTTCCATGTTCTTTTCCATTTGACTTTTCATTATTGGGTATATCTCGATGTATATATACAATATGCTTGTTGGAATGAGTCATGTGACAATTGCGTCATGGCGTCCTTCTCAATCTTCTCAATTAATTTCGTTAATGATACTTGATTCCAGCATCTGCTTCGCTCCGAATTCTGAAGCCCACTGGTGCAATTCATTGGCGAACAGTGCTTTTGTTGTGAGCGGGCCTCGTCACCGTGAGCTGCCAAGTGGATGATGAGACCGCTCCTGTCGGCTTGCACGGAGGCCTTTCCTTTTTACCAGTCAGCCGGTCAAATTCACCCGCATATCATTGCCTCTAGAGACTTAGGCCTTCAGCTGCACAGAAACATGTGACATGTACAACCATCACATTGTAAAGCCATTACATGTTTAAGGGGGCGCTTGGGAAGAACTAAAAGCCTTACGAAGTTTGGGTGTTCGGTTTCAAGGTTTGGGGATTTACAAAAAATATTGAGGATATCAATGGCATTTGGATGATTTAGGCTGCAAAAGCTGAAGGTCCAAGATACTTGGCGCCTTAGGCCAGTTGACAGTTCTTGGAGGATGTCCGACTTGGGAGTTCAGGGTTTACTCATCTCCCCACCTGCTGTGCCGTTCACACTCTCAACGGTCTTTGGACACCCACTCTTCTAGCAACCCTGAAGGACCATCTGACTGAACAGTTTTGAAACACGAAAGACCCCTGGTAGTTGGCAAGAAATCCGGCCACCGGGTCTGCGTCCTCTGTGCATGCGACAGAGTCAGCAGCTTCGTCAGCGAGGAAGAAGAAGCCGTGCCAACATTTAAGCGTACCTACATGGATGGAGCAGTCAAGGCTTGGACCAATTACCTCGCTTACAAACGGGAACGTGCAGCCTATTATCAGTGTGCCCATTTCATGAACAGGTCTCCCAATGGCAGCCTGCCCAGTCTGCAATCTTCCGGAGTCCCGCGCGCTGCACACAATGCGGTCAATCTCTGATTCGAAATCGATGGGCAAGTAGTTTGCCAAAGGCCTGGCACGGCTGCCATCGCATTTTCGAGTAGGGAAGTCTGGGATTAACATCGTGTTCCAACTCGGGAGCGCGCGATGCGTACAGGACGAAGAGAACACACAGGCCAGGGTCTGTTGACGCCTTGCTTCCACTCAGCTGCTTCAGACTTTGCAGGCTGACAGGGTCAGACAGAACGTCACATCTGCAGCCATGATGCAAACCGGTTCTTGCTCTTCCCAACCATGAAGGTGCGCAAAGATCTATCTGCAAAGTCTTCGGTCCAGGTGACCGGGCTTCTTGCGCACTGATGTGGACCTTACCAAGACCAATTCAATGCCGGGTTTTGCCACCATGAGCTCACGTAAACCTGGACTTGGACACTGCTGCGAAACTTCTCAAATGGGAATGCAGAACCCTGTCGACTCCGCCTTCCCACATTTGTCCACGTATACCTTGATCAATGAGTCTGCTTCGTGACCAGTAGAATTGAAGCAATCCAGGCTTGCCAAAGACATCCCAGATACTTGGGGGACTGCGAAGAATTCCAAGCATCTAAATTCCCTGGCACGGACTCTTCTTGCAAGGAAGTCACGTGCTTACAATTAAAATTTCTCAGCATACACTCACCAAGCCACGGGAAGACTGTCACGTCTATTTTTGAACCAGGCCTACCGCTGATGAAAAAACATAATCCTGATGACTAGCAAAGTCAACATGCCTCAAACCCCAAACGCAGCTATGATGAACCTTACCCTAGCTGGTAGTTCCCTGAATAGTGGGGGTACCCCAATATAGACCCCAAACTACTAACATCTTTAACATGCGGACCCCCAAAATGGTATCCCTAACTTTGGGAAATCGCCGAATCTTACCCTGACTAGCCTCATCTAAACCCCAGACCCTAAACCCTAGATTTTACACCCCAAACCCTAACTCTCCACAGCTTACATCCTCTTGGCGAGGCACTTGGCCCGCTTCGATGTGCTGGGGTACCAGCCTGATGCCTTGGTTTAGGAGGGTTTCACTGTCATTCATATATACATATATAAATATATAATAGGGTATATACTGGGATAATGGAAAAGAAAATGGAAACTATAGGGATTACATATTGGTGGTATAATAGGGTATATACTGGGATAACGGAAAAATGGAAACTATAGGGATTATATATTAAGGTTTTTTTTTACAAGACGCTTTCTCCACAAGCCATGCTCCCGAAGACGCCCCTTAGGCGCGGTCCTTAAGCCAGTGCCTCAAATTAGTCTGCTTCTTACCTTGATCCAAACCCCCCAGCAGAGCTCGTTCCCGGTTTAGGTGTAGGGTGAGGTTTAGGGTCCAAAGCCATGCGGGATTTAGGGTGTAGGGTTTACGATTTAGGGCTTAGGATTTAAGCGTTAGGATTTGGAGTTTAGTGGTCAGTTTAGGGTCCCCAAGCCATGTGGTGTGTTTGGGGATATATAGAGATGATGGCAAAGAAAATGGAAACTAGCATTTAGGGTTTAGGCTCTAAGGATATTACCTATGTAGAGGTTATGCGGTAGTTTCCATAAGTAGGAGGACCCCAATATAGACCCAAACATGCCACACTCTTTATTGGGACCCCTAAACGGGTACCTCTACTTCGACAACATGCCCAGAAGCCTGACTCTTCGCAAGTCACCCAGAAGACAAACAGCACTCAAAAACGGAACTACCAAAAAAGATCCGCAATTTTGAGAAATCCCGTATCATCCCCCTTCATCCTGAACAATGGGACCAACTCCCAGAAATCCTGTACAGCCCCTTCACCCCTACTTACACCAACCCAGCTGCGGTGTGCCCAGGTTGCCAGGCGTGCCAACTTGGTTGGCAGGCGATGGAAACCTGGGATCTTTTGGGGGTGCTGGCATGTTCCATCTATGAAGATCCCCCAAAGAATGACCCACCACGAGGAACACGCAAGGTAGGCCGACCTCTAAGAAATCAGCACACTGCATTTCGACGCCCCTTGCTGTGCAACTTATTTTTCATGCGTAATAGATTTCTGCTTTTCTCTCAGCAGCGCAGGAGTTTGAAAGAAGGTAAGTAACACATTACAGCATCTCGTGGGTTGTCAATCGGCAGCTTAGGATTTCTCAACTGCCAACAGCAGTAGCGCTTAGTACACTGATGTGAGTCCCTGCACTGTCAGCGCACTGCACCTAGTTCTGTTCAGGCATGCTGAGATTGCTGGCTTTGTGGCACTTTCACAAGGGCAGCCATTCCTGATGATAGGATCCTATGCCCTGATTCGACTGCCTGCCAAGAAGTTCCAAGAAAGGACAGCTCAAAAAGGCCCTAGGCCGTACAGTAGGCTGCATCAAGTTCGGCATTTTCATCTGCTACCGTGGCTCCACAAGCAGCCGAGACAAACTGTCTGCTTGATGTGCCACCAAGCAGCATACTCATGTAAAGCGAGTTGGGGCTGACTGTGGAAGTCTCGGAGCCCGCACGATCAAAGCCTCCAGCTCAACATAACTAGCAGGATGAATACGTAGCGAGAAACCACGCTTCAAACAAACAGTGCAACCAAGCAAGAATTGAGACAAGATGCTGTGCATCCTGGTCCTCGCAGGGGTCCAAGGAGAATGCGGAGTGGCGCTGCGGCTGATGGGTGGCAGCGAAAGTGGCGTCGAAGTTGAGGGCGTGGACAAAGCCCGGTTCCTCTCGTGGGATACCAACAATGCAAACAAGCCAACAGCAGCGTAATAAGAAATTACCATGGTGACCATACTTTCAAACCTGCCACCACGCTAGACTGAGCCGGCGACGCGCTCTGACCAGATTGGTTGGAGCGAGCACGAGAACCGCAGCGACTTCTAGTTGGGCTTTGTAGCCGCAGGTCCATCGGGTGGAAGTCGTCCCTGGCAAGCGTCAAATGCTCCAGCAAGCCACGTTTTGAGGGTCACCACAAGGCATTCCGATGAGGCAATCAGGCAGGGAGATTGGAGCTAGACACGCCATCAACTTGGTTGCTTCTCAAAGACAGCCTGTCGTGGGATTCTGCGTTTTGCAGGATGGGCGGGAGCCAACCGCTGGGCCGTGGTGCCTCAGTGACACAGGAACGGGACCAGAACTGAGTGCTGAATGTGGAGCATCTCCACATGGCCTCCGAAGGGTCGCACGCCGGGCTGCGCTTCCCGGAGATCGCGCGCCAGATGCTTGTCATCAGGCTGTGGAGGCCACTGGCTCGGACAAGGGTGGCTTCAAGTGATTCTACAGTGTCCTGGTGTCTGGGGGAATTGAGTGGCGCCTAGCGCATGGGGAAGCTGGGCTAGTGGGCTGGAAGACTGGGGAGTGCCAGGAAAGCCGCTGCGTACTGGAAATCCCAGCCTCTCATTGAAGGAGTTACATGCCATGGAAAACAACTACAGCACTGAGCCCATGCATATGAATACATGCTCAACTTGTTTAATGCTGGAAGGTCCTGCCGCATCACAGTCCAGAAATGTAGGAAATGGCACAAGGCCACTTAGTCACGTTCCGGAATCTAGTTTCGGTCTTGCACTCTGTGACCCCAACCGCGCCATAAATTCCTGCAAAAGACTACGCCCAGCTCTTGCGAGGACCGACTTGCATCCATATTCGAGACGATTGCCGAGCTGTAGCTTGAGAGTCCGAGACATGGTACTTTCCATCAATAGGGGGACCGCAGCATACAATGATCCTTATTATGGGTACCACATATTTTGGGAAAGCCGCACATTGTCGAAGCGGCTTGCTGTCGCCTTGCAGGCTCCGACCAACTGGTGTCTTAGATTCCTTTAAGGCATAAAGTTGGGTATACCAAGTATGGCCTTATGAACCCAACCTTATCAAAAGTTGGATTGACCTTCACCCGATCTCTTGTTTTTTTGCGCTCTCATCAGGCCCAATATCAGATGGATGCGATTTGAGGCCAGCTGGATGGTCACGCCTGCAGGAAGGGGCTTTTGCTTGCTGACATCAGGTTGGGAGATGCGAAGGTTGGGGCAGAAGGTATGTATGCAGGCCACCAGCTCTGATTTGCCCCTGAGTTCTGCTTACGTACCATAAGCATGGATCTCTGGTTTTGCTGTTTATTGCGGCCCTCACGAGCGGGGTTGCGATTGATTGACACTCCATTTTCATTACGAAGTCGCGTGGCTGTCCCTCAGGCCTTGACATGTACTGTTTTCCCTGCAAGTCGCTGGCTGTCGAAATTGGCATCCTCTCTCTACCTGTCAGGGCAACTTGTGGACGAAATGCCTTCCTGTCTTGGTGCTGTTTCGATAACCCATAGCCCAAAATACTAGGACCAGGTTGCAACAAGACGTCGAGAAGAGCATCACATTTTGATATGCAGCTGACAAGCTATCTCGAAGCTGGGATCCTTCCTCAGGATCATGGAAGGTAGAGTAGGCCAGGGGATTTAGTTCATGCCTGAGACAGTCAGCTTGGGTGACTCAGGCTCTCTGCCTGGCGAGGTTGACTTAATCCGCTGTGAAGGAATGAAAGAAAAATGTGCTGGAAGTGCGAAAGGTGTTGAAATATGACAACCTTCCTACCACAGCTCTGACCACCAAACTGGGTTCACTCCAGATTCAACATCCTACATGCTTGGGCTGGTTCTTTGATGGACCTCCGGCCTGTTGTAATAATAAGTCTCCATCTCCTCGACTTGGAAACTACCCGTTTGGCCAAGAAAATCAGATCTGCAGGCATTGCTGCCGGAGCTTCCAGTGCGGCACCAATATGTATGCCCCAGGTTACCTCAGGCGTCGTTTTACAAATTGTGGATTCCCGAAGTCGGCCTTTTGCAGTGCTACCGCAACAGCACGAAGTTTACGACATGCCGACATCCACAAGCACGGAACTCTACAGGCTGACGATCAGCTTTGGTTCAAAACGCTGACTACTTACTCATTTCATATCTAACAGTGCACCTGGCTGATTTGATTTCATGCGTAAAGCAAGAAGTTGTTAATGCTGTGAGCCCAGACATGTCATCTTGTGTGCTCCTTCTGGCCGCTCTGCATCTTCCCCTCCATTCCCCTCTTTGTCCGTCCGGCCCCCCCCCCTCCTCCTCCTCCTCATCCTCCTGGTTTGTCACACAACTCTTCTTCATGTGCCTTCCGATCCTTCTGTCTGCCAACCTTTCTCGCGCATTGAAATTGTGTGTTTCTCTTGGGCATTGTCGGGTTGCTGAGGACGACGGCGCTGTGTTCTGGTCAAGGTGCCGGGTGCACTTTCTCTCCCTGTGTTCGGTGTTGACGCTCCGTGATGGAGGTGTGGAGTGAAATTTATCAGCCCTCGCGCAGTATTGCGCCTGTGAGCTGAGACAGGGTGTCAGCCAAGACAGTGGCCATTTCCTTGTTGAGTCCTGGCGAAATCTGCCTCACAGAAGCTTTATTCGCTTCAGCCTCATGATTCATCTTCTTGACTGTTCATCCTTCCGCCTTCCTCTTCGCCTCATGACAGCTGCTTTCACAGACAACAATATCATAACTAATGCGACTAACTTCCGCAACCCAGAGCGGCCGACATATTGCGAACTGAGCGGCTCCAAGCCTTGCTGCTTTCATCTAGAGGCACGCAAAGGTCGTGTCCGCCACCGAAGCACGCACTGTAAGCAGTCGCATGGTAATAGATGCCATATGAACCGACGTTCTGGTTGCCCGAGTGTTTGTGCAGGTTCGACAAAGAAAACAGAAAGGCATTAGTGTCGCCGACGTAATTGCCGCCGCTCGTCCTGAAATACTGATAATTGTAACCACCGATCACCTTGCCTCCGCTGGTCTTGATGAGGGTCAGTAGGTTCCACTTGCCACCACACTTGCTGACCCATTGTTTGTTGCTGGTTCGCGTGGTCTTCGTGTAGCACTTCACCCAGTTCTTGTTTTTGATGTCAGACTTGAGCCAGCTCATCAACCTCAGCGCAGATCTTCGGATGGGGCTGCAAGTTGCACAGGGATTCACCGAAAACGTGATACCCTGCTTGAAATCCTTGAAGGAACGATGTGCCTCCTCTTGAACTATCTTGAAGAACTACTTGCGTTGGGAGAAGCAAAACTCAAAATGCAACATGACTGGAAGAAAATAGTGAGTCCAGTGCAGGACTACACTTTGGTTCTGGAACGGCTGCTTTGTCTTTGTGGAGCTTTGGGACGGAACCATTCGGGCAGAGACTCAACGGATGCTGGGCCCTATAGAATCCTATATTTTAGCCCCATATATCCCCAGCCTAAGCCTCCACCACCCTGCGAAAATACGTGGCCGCTTCTGCCAGTCACGTCACTTGTCGTCCTGCGCCTTTGTAGCTACCAGCTTCGTACCTGCAGCAAAACAGCTGCTGGCGAGGGCCTATCGGGCTTAGATAGGGGTTACATGAAATATCACCCCCAAGCTGGGGATGGAACATGATGCGGAAGCTATTTTTCAAGTTTTTTGGGCCGCAGAGAGAGATAGCACCATTCTCCATCTTTCCCTTGTTTGTTTGCTAAGCTAAATGCCAAGCAGCTCTGTTATAAGAGCAACGGATGCAAGCGCTCAAGGACTTTAAACCCCATGGCCTGGAAGGAAGGATTCGACGCAGCACACGTCTCGCAGCTCTCCGAAGATGCTGGCAGCATTGTCCTTGGAAACCTGGATCTGCGGCCGATGCCATGGTCACCCAACCCAAAGATGTTGACACACAGGCGACGAGTCAAGTGCTTCAAAACAAATGTGCTAACCCTAAGTCCTGTAGACATGTCGCGCCAGAAACGAGACTTCGACTGAAGCTTGTGAAGGCTTGGGGGGGTTGGCTTATGCCCTCGTGCCCGCCCTCTCCAGTTGTCATCTTGATTCGCAAATGTAGCTCCATGCGGTATGGCCATGTCGAGTGGCCCAGCCATCCGGGCACGTGAATGAGTCGCAGGTGGCCTCAGTGCAGGAGACTTCACTAGTTAAAAATAATAAAATGACAATTCTTCAAACAACATGGGAACTTGCACAGCGTGTAGGAGGTGCAGGGGCTTGGAGCCAGGTAAGGGTTGTGTCCTGTTCAACATGTGGGTCATATGTGTTTGGGACCACAGCTGGCTGCACACAGCACACCTGACAGATCGACCTTCAAGGACCCTGAAACTGCAGTCACGTGGCACAGCAGGAGGCTTCGCAGGTCTTTGCAGGGGCATTGCTGGGAAGCGCGTAGTACTTGGCCTGACAGGTAGTGCTCAAGCTCGCGATAGGCGGAAGGAACGATGTCACAGCTTAAACACATTTCCAAATGCCAACTCTGCTGCCTTGAGATGTTAGCCCTTGTGTGTTGTTGTCTTTTTGTATTCGGTACCCCCAAGGGGGAAACCAAGATAGGCCCCGTAGAAGTTGGATGTAGGGACCCGTGCTTTACATTTGGGGAAATTCATTTAAACTTTAAGCTGAACATGCGTCCCAGGACAAAGACGCAGGAACACCAAACTTCTTTAAGATTAGATCCCTGGAATACTGCATTGATGCGCAGGGCATAAGAGGGAAAACCCAAGATTGACAAATTGCCTGGGCTTCATCCTCTGACACAAGAACTTGCTCAAAATACTGTGCAAACACAAGTCAGCGAAGGGCGCCCATTTTCCTGCAACTGCAAAGAATGCAAAAGGCTCAGCGGCCGTTCTACGAAGGAGTGAGCCAAAACGTTTCGGGGAAGCGCGCTTACACGCTCAAGCCTTGAACTTTCACACAAGTCTTAATTTTCTTTGGCTCACGAACCTCCCTTAGCTGTGCTTTCGGTACTTGCATCTACTCCCCTAGCTCCATCATCAGCTGGGTGTTGAGCTTGGTCAGCCCGCGTGCATCAAAAAGGTCGGTACCCAGTGCACCTGCTGAGGGGTGACGGTCTCCTGGACTGAGCGGATGTTGATCAGAGAGCGCTTGTCGGTCACATTCGGGTTATCCTGGATGAGGCAGTCAAAGAGGCTCTTAGCATCGACGGCGCAGATTATTCAACTTGCACCCTACACGGTGAGCTGGTTCTCCCAGAAGTAGTTTGCTGAGGGACATGTTGGAGAATGCCCCTGTCTGCCCCCTCATCTGCGGCTGATGCCTCCGCAGATAAGGTACACCTGCACACGCGAGTGCTAGTCGCTTTGGAAGGGACCTCTGAAACTTGCGGAGGAGTCAGGAGCACAAGAACACCGTACTGAGACTTCAGGTCGAGGTTGTTAGCCCAGCTCGAGTCGGTGTAGGTCAGGATGACTGTCGACAAGCTTCTGGGAATGTCCTGGTAACATAGCCCATAGTCGCTCGTGAGCTTGAATTATTCGACTGTTTCGTACAAGTGCTTCAGGTCGTGGAAGGATGTCAGCTGGCCTCTGTTCGAAAGGCTGACAACGGGTCCGACTTCGGGCCTGCTCTGCGAGGCGACCCATTGTAAGGACCCTGACACGCTGCAAAATTCCTTCCATTCCTCAGCTGTCGGTTTTTCATCATCCTTTGACCTTCCTGTAGGTGATCCGGTCGCGAGGGGCCTTCATGTAGAGTGGGCCAGCTCGCTCTTCGCGGTTCTGCTCTCCCTGAAGGAAGGCACTCTTGGCATCAGAAATCCACAAACTCCATTCGCCCGTCTCATTGTTCATCTCTCCATGTGCTCCTGCAGTGGCGATGGCGAGAACCAGTGATTCTGACAGCCGTGAGTAGGAGAATCACGAGACAAATGGAAGAGATCGGGATCGCAGCAGCCAATCAAAACCACACGACATTTAGCTTTTATCTCGCCAAGTCCTTTGTTCTTGTCTCTAGATGCCGATCGGCTCTTCAAGATCCGCTTGGACAGCTCTGGGTCAGACATGACCTTGCGGATTTCGGCGCGAGACATTGGACGGATACCTCCCCAGCTGAGCCAGTTGTCGTGCTCAACTCTCATGGACTCGAGATACTTTTCGTAGGAAGCACGAGGAGGGAGGTTGATGATCTCCTTCCAGGGGATCTCGCGATCCAGTTGCTCGAGCTCTTGACGAGAGCGCGTGCGGTTGTTGGAGACGGTCATCGCCTCATCATCCGAAGAGGCGTCCTCGCGGCTGGGGTCGTCGTCGATGTTGCGCTCTGCCATCTCCTGCTTTCGCGCCTTGCTGTTCAAGTAGCTCTTGTAGAAGGGTTCACGAGAAAAAGGAGGTCGTATGTCGTTCGCGTCGCCGTGCTTTTTCAAGGTGGCCTCGCCGAAGTCGTCGACAAAGAACTTGTAGGCGCCTGGGGTGTAGAGCACATCCGCAGGCCTTTTCTGCGGAAGCTTCGGAAGGCTAGCAGCTTGTGAAGGTCGGCTGCTTTCGCTTGCTTGTTGCTCGGCAGTTGCCGAAGGTTCAAGGATGGGAGAACTGTGTGCTGCAGGGACACTCGGGCCAGCTGAACATGCTGAACCGCTCGTTGCCTTAGTGGCTTCGTTGTGCTCGTGGCGCGTGGTGTCGTTGAGTCGTTGAGCTCGGCAGTCATGTCGTCGCCTTCGGCGTTCGGCGTGAAAAGCTGAGCACGTAGATCTTCGTCATCATCATCCGGGGCTCGAGGTGGAGCTCCAGAAAAGCGCGTCATGTCCGGGCGCAGCAGAGAACGGAGGTATGCCCGGACTGAATGGTGCCCGGCATCGCCTGTTTGTCAGGTTGAGGTAGTGCTTGAGGTGCCTCAGGTAGTCCAGGAGGAGTCTGAGGCACTGCAACGTCCTTCACGGCGCGGCTACGTGTACGTGATCGCGGTCTAGGCCCTGGACCTTGGAGTTGGTGGCACAGGTGAAGAAGGCGTCACCGTAACGGACCTGTTGTCGATGTACATCTTGATGCTGGTCTTACGCTGGTGTGCCTCTGACTGACGACGTTGCTCTTGGTGCACATTGGTCTGATGTTGCTCTTGCTGCACATTAGTTTGACGCCTGGGTGTCGACGTTCGGCCACGCGAAGGTGCTGAAGCTTGTGCTGGCAACCGTAGTGGTAGTGGAGGCCAGGGATGCTCCCAAGTTTGAGCGAACCGGGGATCACGCCATTGGTCATGAGGTGGTTGTTCGTCGTGCTCTTGGAAATAGGTCTTGCGGAGGTCGTCAAGGTCGTCCAAGTTGAACTCGCATTCCTCGCGTTCGGTATAGAGGCCGTGTCGCGGAACCACCCTGAGCATCCGATATTGATT